CTCTCTTAACTGGTGGGGGGGCAGTAGGTGAGAAGATAACTCACTCTCTCCTGAACATGCCAGCATAGCTGGCACAATCAGTACATAGGATAGCTAATCTGTTGTTCATATCGACAACAGAGGAGGAGAAAACAGACAACCAACAAACAACACGATCCCAGGCCCGGTCCCCGGACAGTACAGCTGATGTCTGCCCCTTACTAAATCCAAACTCTTTCATTAATCTTTTAGTATTCACCTATTTCCTAACATCAGCTTAGGAAATCTCTGTTGGTGAACTGCTTGAGGAAGAAAGTTTAATCCTGGAGCGGTACGTGAGTGACTGACGGTGAAATGAATTGCCAGATTTCACATTCCCAGATTCATGCTGTTTAAAGGTGAGGCAAGGTCATTCGATCTAGGCTGACTTCATGTATATCACAGACTATTAAATTCCATCCCATTACCCTTCCATTGAGCCCAATACGTAAGGCTGTTAGTCTGGATTTGAAGACATCAGAAAAAAGAGAATCCACCATTTTCCATGAATATTTATTCAAATGATTAATCTCCCTCACTGTTAGCAATCACTCTCATATTGTTCATTTGCCTTTGTCTGGCTTCAGCTTATAGGTGTTGCTTTTCTCTGATAGATTAAAGAGATCTTTGGTCGCAGCCTCTCTGCCCAGGTAGGTATTTCCATTCCGTAATCAAGTCATCTCCCAATCTTCTGTTTGATATTCTAGACAGATTGTGATCTTTAAGAGTCTCACACTATAATTTTCTCCAGACAGTCAAACACATTTGCGATTCTTTTCTGCATCTCTCTAATTTTTCTATAACTTTTTAAAATGTGGACACACAAGTGGTCCTTTAGTATCAATCTTAGTATCAATGTGTCATATACAGAGGCAAGATCACCTCCTTTTTCGCCACTCACACCTCTCCTCTCTGTACATCCAAGGATTTCATTAGCCCTACTTACCGCAATGAAACCCAGTTATTTATCAGAGTCCTGCATTCTGTAACTATGGCCTGTGCTGCAATATGTACATGTTTGTATTTAGCTATATTAAAACACTTTTTGCCTGAATAGGCCCAGTTTATCAAATAACTTGAACAGGTCTACATGGCTGTTCTTCCCTCATTATTACCCACTACCGTACCAATCTATATGTGTGACTAATCAAAGGCGGGGTTTCATCTATTCCAGATCATTCATAAAAAATGTTGAACATCATTAAAGCCAAATGGTTCTAGTTCTGGGGATCAGATTCAAACTCGATTTTACTGGAAGCAGCACATACACTCTATAGCCACTACCATTCCTCAACCTCCCCAGCATTTTCAGGTTCTCTATAACAGTTCCTAACCAAAACGTATGGCCAGATTCAGCAAACCAAATATTCTCACTAAAGAGCATTAATTTGTGTGGGCAATCCCATCAATTTTTGCAGAAACACATCTGAAGGGCTGGGCTGCCAGATTTGGCCCTAGCTTATTTTGCAGTCCTCCCTTCTTAGTCAACCCCAAATGCCCCATCATGTAAGCTGTTTTCAAAAGCACTGTAAGAAAATTTGAAAGAGTCCTAACCAAATGCTTTGGTCAAAACTCCCTAAAATTCAATTGTAGATCCAATCTCCACAATAGTACAAACTACAACTCTCGCTGGAATGAGACCATGTGTGTTTCACAGGTATGGCAAACTGGACCTGCATTTTGTCCTCTCAAGTACTCTGATGTCATTTTTGCGCCCCCCAAAAACCCTAGATCAACAAATGCAGACTCAGAGACCTTGTAAATCCAGATCCTCATCTAAATAATCTTATTAGGGCTCCCTTCTCAAACATGGTCACCCAGTAAATAAAAGGAACTGAACTCTTACTTGCATAAGTTTCCTTTTGCCAAGAGTGATGTAAGAATCAAGGAAGTGTTTTGGTTGTGGTAATTGCTCTTTTTTCTGCTGGGAAGGATTTATAATTGCTTTCTGACTTACTCCAGTGGCTCAGTATGGTAAGAAAGAGAGTGTAGGGTGGTAAAATATATAAAGGAAAAGTAGAAGAGAGAACGATAAAAGAGGAGGCAGAAGCAAGGGAAACAACATAAAAAAATAAGGGCATATCTGCAAAGTCTGCAGGTCAGGGATGAAGCCTTTTGTAGATGGTAGTACAAGACATCAAATGGGATCCTAATCTTCTCTGGGACCCCTGAGTGCCACTATAATATAGTAACATCAACAAATGATTGAGCAACATTAAAACTGGAAAGAATATGTGAGCTAAATATGTAATGTAGGTTACAAACAGGAGAAAGGATTTCTAATTATGGGTTTGTTTGTTTGGGGGGGGGGGGTTAAACTAATTTTGTTTTAACATGCTGTAAAACCAAACATGTGAAAGAGAGAGATAAGGAAAAATGGGCAAAAGAAGGGGAGGGTGCAGAGAGCCAGAAATGCAAGCAAGTAAAGGGGCATAAACATTGCCAAAAAATTAAAAAATAAAAATGAAAGAGTAAAATACCTCTAGGAATTAAATCCTGGCCCTGTTCAAATCAAGGGGAATTCTCCCCTAATTGATTTGAGAGGGGAGTCAAACATAGGTATTGTGGGCTGGATGCAGTCCATAGAGCCACTTCATCCAGTCTGCCAAGCTACCTGAAGTGGAGGCCATGGCTTGAAGGGGCATAGCTCTCACAGAATCTGGGCCCCTCAGTCCTGGATGACATAGCCATCTGTGACAGGGGGGTAAGCAAGGACTGTGCCAACATAGCCTCACTTGTCTTACAGACAGTTGGCCTGCCATCCCTTGTCCTATCACCGCCAGTCCTGCTGCAGTCCCCACTACCAATGCCACTCCATGACCTGAGTCAGATCCAGCCTACAAAGGAGTTCTGTGGTCCAAGTCCAGACCAGGACATGGGGTGAGTCTGACACTCTTGCCCTACTCATTGTAAGAAAGCAGGATGCTTTGCATTTAGTATTCTATAACAAAGGTGAATCTATTTTCTTTTTTCCCCCAAAATATTTTGAGCTAACAAAGATTGAAATTACTGCAGAGCCAAACAAGATACGTGTCTCAATCTGTGTCCTGAAAATAAGGGCTGAGGATCAAATAAAGGAGGGAAGAAATGATAAATGAAGACAAGGCCAATCTTTCCACCTGCATGTGATTAGTACCATGGCAGACAGGAATGTGTGTGGTGTTTTACTCTGTGACTTGCGTATTTGAAGTCAAGCACATATAATTGTATGTAGAATCAGAAGGTTAAACCCAAATAAACAGGCACTCTGCTGACTGGCATTTCCCATCCCAGATTGCAACCTCTGCACCTTACTCAAGCTTCTGCTACCCAAATCCTGATAGCTATTTCATTATTTCTGGCAGCTAACAATGAAACGCAGCATGAGATCTATGTGCAAGGGTGCTGCACAGCAGTTGAACTCTCACAATGATAACTGACCTTTGGTAAAGATAATGAGATTGGATCTAAATAATTTAGATAAATAGCTGCAGTCATTTTGTTGAAAATGGCATTTTTATAGAAACAAAGATCGTTTCTGTTCACAAAATATTAAGTGGTTATGCTCTGGTCTTCAGTGTGCTTTCAGTGGCCAACAGAACCATTCTGCATTCTTTTAATTATAAAATCTGGAGATGCTGGTCTTTTATAATTGCTTCTGTGAATTGGACATAAAGTGTCTTGTTTAATTATTTACTGGGCCAGCAGCACAGTCTTTCCAAGCACCAAAATAATACCAGGCTTGTTTATAACCTATCCTCAACAGAAAAAACAAATACTCTATTTGACATCAAGAGCACAAATGTAACTCAGTTTTAATGTATTAGTTGCTAATCAAGTCTTATGTGAAAACAGTGAAATGTGTTTTATTTCGGTGGTGCCGAACGATGCTGGAAACAGAGGCGCGGATGTACCCACGAGGTAAACAGAAAAGAAGGAGGGGAATGGGAACTAAACAGCAGGATCATTGTGAATTGGCAGCAGCCCTTCCCTAGCCCCACCATGTCTTTGTGGCTCTGTTATAGCAGGGGATGTGGCTGGCCAGCAATGCGAAGGCCGAGCGGCAGAACAGATGCTTCAGGCAGCATGCTGCACAAACACATTTTACAGCCCAACACTCCATATACAACTTCTTCCTTGAGAGGGGTTAAGAATAGCAAGCACAACTAAAGGGGCTACTGGTCACCTCTGGTCCAGGCCACGTAGGTATATAATTGATAGAATTAAATCAGGTTAAGTTCTAGTCTCCAGTTTAAATGCTTCTGCAAACAATACCAAAGAGCAAGAATCTCCATCTTTGCAGCCTGCCTAGATGATCCCATGGTCTGTTTACTCCTCCTGTGCTGTGTGTTATTGATTATCATTTCACAGTTTCACTGCCTGTAGCAGCACAGTCGTATCAGAGCCAGAAGCCACAGATTTTGGAGTCAGTCCAGTGGGTTTGGGAAGATCCCCAAAAGCTTGAGATTTAGTCTGGCATGGGCTGTGCTCCGCTTCACCTCAGGGCATGTTTAAATCTGCTACACGCCAAGTACTATATGTAACGATGTCCGAATCAAAGATTTCAGTCTAGCACGACACGCAAATTTTAGACAGACAAGACTCCAGCAACCCTGGGCTCTCAACTTACCTTTTTTTTTTTTCTTTCTTGGATCCAGTTCCCTCTTTCTTCTAGAGATTTCTTTCTTTGGCATAAGATTTCAGCACAGAGGGAAAATATGGCACTATCTATGAACCACCTCTGATACTACATTATAACAATTCAGCAAAAAGGATAATAAAACACCGAACTAGATTCAGTGTAAACAGACACTAGAAATGCTGTGAAAAAAAAAATGCAGGGAAGATGAAGGAGATGGGTAAATGCCCACAAAGCCTGACCTGTCGTCATAGAAAGGGGAAGGCTGATGACAATACAAAGCCCCCATTTAGTATTTCAAAGTAGAAAGCAAAACAAAACAGAATATCCCACTCAGCTAATGTACAGTAGACATGGAACTAACCTTATAGAGCAGCGGTGATTGTCCGAGCTTCAAAAGTGCAATTTTATTAGTCACATTTGTAATGACACGAATCTGGACCAAATCTTCAACAGTCCCATACTGCACGTCAACGAGTTCTGCCTGAAGATGGAAAAGATCGTTTAAACTATACTTAAAGCCACTGACCAAGTAGTTTGCTTTTGCACCTGAAACAGTTCCCTCCAGAGTAATACACTAATACATCAAAAATCTACTAGTATCTTTACCTCTTTTTCTCAAAGCATGCTTTTAAAATCAAATACTGAAATTCAAAGAAAGAGAATCTTGCATTTTGTCACATTATTTTAAAAGTGTATTCTTTTTTATATCCGGAAAGCATGAAAACTACAGGCATTTTGTAACAAAACTCAAATGGGGACTATAGTTTCAGGTAAAGTGTAAGGAACTAGTGGTGCACATATTTTACTCGAAGAACACGACAAAAGTAAAATTGAAGATGTTTTCAAGCCACTGGAAAATATTTCATATTTTTACCTACACTGATAAGCCCATCTGAAAAGCTCTTTCTGAAAGAACATGAAAGTGCAACACCAACTGGGGAGAGAAAATTTACTAAGTGTGCATTCACATTTATACACAAGTTTGCATTTTTCATCTCAATTCTTCTTTCATGAGTGTCCTTAGAAAAATCTCAATTCTTCTTTCATGAGTGTCCTTAGAAAATGTATGCTGCAATAATTACTTGGAGCCTCCAAAGTCAGAATGGTTTGAAAATTTACAATAAAAAATATGTAGACTGCTTTTTGAGGAGACCTTGGATCTAGTTCCTTTGTGAAATGTGCCTTTCCCACTTACCCTCAAGCAAATTGAAAATCACAGTGTTCACTGTTCAGATGAGAGGAACCATATTGAATTTTCCTGAGGCACAAATCAATATACAAAGATATGATAGAGTAGTGTGTCAAAGCCATTTGCTTCTGCAATGTGCCTCTCTCATTTATATTCAAGCTGTCTCTCCCCATATCATTCCTACTAACTAGTCCTAGTTAGGTGTCTCCCACTTTTTGGTTCCGTTTCAACACTACAGAACCATTTATACAAGTCCTGCTGCATTCAACTGTCCTCATAAATGATGATCAAACTTCCAGGTGAATATTGTATCCTGATCACAATATGTACCCTGCTTCTCTAAAGTTAATAACTGTCTCGGGAAGAACTAGCTGATTGAAAACTTGCAAAAAACATTATTCAAATTTTTGTTTCCTGAGCACCTGAATGGTGTTGACTGCTGTACAAAGTAATGAAGATGACATGTCCTTTGCTTCAGAGAACTTACAATAAAAATTAAATATTGGGTTAAAATGGCAGGGTAGTTCACCATTTCAATCACGCACCTCCAGTTGCAGATAGCATGGATTATTAAAATTAAAAAAAAAATGGTTGGGTATATTAGATATTATTGCAAGCACATGGTTAATTATTAAAGTAAATTAATTACATTTTTTTCCACTTGAAGGTACTGCCAGAGGTCACAGCATCCATTATATGTGTTGGAACAAATGTATATATCAGCTAGGACTTCTGCCACTGTCATGACTTTAAGGTACTTACATTCCTGCATTTCACTTTAAATTTCAACTAGTTTTTTCTTACATCTAATTTTACCTTTTGGGAGAGATGGTTACCCACAGTGTACATGACTATCAGCTGCATCACCAAATCCAACCATCTCAGTAAGGTGTCATATCTAGTCAGCAGGAGCACTTACTTAAAAGACACTCAAAAGAAGTTTGTATAACAAAACATCAGAGGAACGACAGAAATCGCTACACTAAAATTTAGTGTGCAGTATTTGAAAGGAAAAAAAAAAGTAACAAAATCTTGGGCAGAACTCCACAGGACAAAGACAATAGCTGCTACTAAGTGAATTACTAAACAGAGGCTTAGGACAATTATATAAATTCAGTAGCATGTTTCAGAGACTCAAAAATGCATTGGGGTTTTAATTACACTCGGTATAACCATGGGAAAGCCCCATCCAAAGGTTTCACTAGAGTCTGGAATTAAGGGCAGGACTTGGTCATTGAAGTATTTAATGACAACTGCTCATTAAATACATTATAACCTCATTAGTTCAAGGTCAGTCCTTTATGCTTCTTTAGAGCGCCGTACAATGGAGCGAACTTTAAATACTAACGTAATAGAAATGATCAACAATAACAATAGAAATGTTAAGTGAAAGTGTTATTTGAAGAACTCTACCCCTATCAATAATCTATTCAGAAACATATTTCATTTTGTGGTTCAACTCTATTTTAATTGTATATATCCCTAACATGAAAAAGATTAATATAATAAATAAAGAGCAGATGCTAAGTACTGTTTTTGATTTCAAAGATGATTACAGCATGGCATAATCCTAATCTTATACATTTTAAATATTTTACAGAGAGACACACGCACACACATTGGTGGCGAACTATAATAAACTGCTTTCCTTCAGCAGAATAATGCTGCTTAAAAACAAAGAAAAACTCATCCTTTTATCGGATATTGAAAAAGAACACTTGTATACATGGTTCAGATATGCAGTGGTAAATCCTCTTATCCTAAAATTGGGAAACTACAAAACAATGAGTTATTTCATCCATCTGAACTAGATACTTACTCTTTGAATTGTCCCATGGTATGTAGTTTGAAAGATACAACTATTTAAAACCAAATTGCAGTGTGCTCTATGGAGTTAAGTAGCATCCCCCCATGCATGAAATGAAGTAAAAAGAGGTAACACAACAAACATTTTTAGAAGAACAAATCCTTTCACAGTAGATCTATTGTTTATTTTTAAGATGGTGCGTGGTGAGCTGTAAGAATGTAATTTCAACCAAAAATTGTGTTAACCCTCTCCTTCTGCCCTTCCACGCCCATCCAAAAAAAACCCCATCAGAACCGCCAATCAACTCAAGCACTTCAAAGTGAGGAGATGCCGCAACAAAGTTTTCTAGTACACCCTTGATTTGCCCACTGTCCCCCATTTTATTAGGACTGTGCAAAGTGACTAGTATTCGCTAAGGATTCAGCCGATTTGGGGGACAGTGATTCAATTCAGTGATTCGAATCACTGCCCCGAATCGATTCAGCCGAATTTGATTCAGAGATTGAGCTGCCGCCAAAATGGCTTAATCTCTGAATCAAACAGGCCCCATCCCTTGCCCACTCTCCTAGCCCCATCAATGGCTGCCCCACCCAGCTCCAGTGTCCTGGATCTTAAAAAAACAAAACCCCACACTCACCAGCTCCTGCCAGGCAGGGGGGGGCAATCCCTGTTGTGCCCCACTTCCCCGTGCTGCATGGGGGACTCTGCCACGAGCCCCCAGAAGCCCCAATGGCTGCTGCAGCAGCCCGTGACTGGGGGAATTTAAAGAAAGAAAAAAAGCCAGGACGCTGGGGCCATGCGGGGCAGCCACTGACAGGGCTGTGAGAGCAGGTGGGGGTTGGAGGGTGCTCAGGAGGGCTGGGGGAGTGGCCAGGGGATGGGGCCTGGTAGGGGTCTCCCCCACAGTTCTCTCCCCCATCCTGCAGCCCCCTCCCCCACCTCCTACTTGCTGGCATGGAGCCTGGGTCCAGCTCCCTGCAGCAGCGAGCGGGGACTGCCCAAATCGCCGAATCGCTGAATATTTCTCTGAATCTTTTCTAAATCGATTTGGAGGCTTCAAATTGATTCGACCTTTTTTTTTATTGACCTCCCAATTCAATTTGGATTCAGAGATTCGGCAGAATCTCCTCCAAATCGAATCAGCACCTGAAGCTCTGCACAGCCCTAGTATTTATTAGGAACCCAAATGTCCAGAAAGGCAGGAAAACAATGTACGCCAGCCACAGTAATTTATCAGTATAACAGACACACTTTAGAAACTGATAAAATTTTGGAAATTGAAAATTATGAATATCTGTACACAAAGAACTGTGGACACTTGCACCGGAGCTATATCAAACACCAAACTTGAAACTTCCCATTGACATTAAATACTTGATTACTTATAAGTGCAGTATAGGAAACCTAGTTACCTATATCAAAGGGAAATGTATTAAGACAATCCATTCCTGCCATAATCCTGATGCCTTCAGTAGCTTTGTCCAATAGCCTAATATGGGGTGGGGGAGTAGGGCATGTATCCCAGGTGCTGCCTAAGGGAAGGGGCACCAAAAGGAGTGTGTGTATTCAAGGTGGGTGGGAGGAGGGGGGTCATGCTCCTGCTCCCTGCTTGGCTTGCATTTCCCAGCTAAACACTGCAGTGGTACAGGAAGTATGTGTTACAGAATACATAGTATTGTATGAATTGTAGTTTTTTAGAGTGGCAATGGAGTTCACTGCTGTTGCTGTGGGCAGAATTGGTTCTAATTCTTGCTGCCAAAAATCAGCTTGTTTGGGTTTTTTTGCCCTTCAAACATGGGCTTCAGCAGCGGAAAAAGAAGTAAATGTTTTTGCCCCAACAGCAGCAAACTCCAACACAACTCGAGAGAACTGTAATTCCTAGAACACCTTACACTCCACTGCCCACACTGCTGCTTACTGCTGTGTGCTGCCTACTGGGGGAAGGATGAGAAGGACTGCCCTGGGCACCTTCTTCTCATGTTATGCCTCTGGTTTTGCACATGGGATGATTTTGGTCATACCTTCTATCATTTGTGCCCAACAAGCTGGTTGGGGAACAGACTGTGGCTGATTTTCCATATGTATGGCAAAAGGGAGAAAGGCTTTAGGAAGCCAAATAAAAAGTACTCAGCCCACTGAAGTCAGTGAAATTATGAAACATATCTGAGAGTAGACTCAATTTCTTTATTCTTTAAATGCCCCAGCTTCAGGTATCAGTGCTAAGAATAATACTGTAAAGCATTGTAAAGCAACAGGTAGAGTGGAACAACCCTTTTGTAAAAAACTGGTATGGCATGTGGCTGTAGGGAAGGTCAGCAGTAGCCAGCGCAGGCTTTAGCTAGCATTCTTGATATCACAATTCAGTTAGAAGACAGCTCACCCAAAGTTTAAATGAAACAATGCATTACCAAAAAAGAATCCCCAAATGATATAAAAAACCCACCAGACACCATAAATTCTGAACTATACATGCATTCTGCAAAAT